ATCTTGGCAAATCTTTCTAGATATATGTCAACGTATCATTTGCATAGATAAAACATGACTCTTACATGAAGTTCCAACAATAAATCACGGCTAGGAATGATTTAGCAGACAAATCTATCAAAATAAAGCGATTTCAATGATTATTGTTGAAAAATATGCACGTAAAAATTGCATACCAATTAAAAGGGAAATTAAATTAAAATAGTAAAACAATAAATATAAATTATGTAAATTTAACTAAAATAATATTAACTTAATTTAAAAAGAAATGAAATAGGCTATTCGGTTAAAGTTATACAACAATTAAGCGAAATATTTAAATGAATAATTAAAAAAATTGCAGTAAAAAATGTATAAATTTATAAAAATATATAAACAAATTTTTAATCAATAATAAAATAAATCTCGAAAAACAATAAACAAAATTTCATTGATAAATTAAATTAATTTCAATTTTAAAAAAATCCATAATTAATGAAATAAATTAGATCAAAAAGTAAATAAATTTCAATAAATAATTCAATACATTTCAATAAAAAACAAAAACAATTTCGAAAATAAATGAAATAAATTTAAATAAAAACATACATTAATTCAGTAAATAACTAAATAAAGTCAATAAATTATTGAACATATAAATATTGAATATTTAAATCGTTTTTAATAAGTAATTAAATACATTTAAATAAAAAGTTCAATTCATTTAAATCAATAATTAAAAACCCAAATAATAATTGTAAAAAAATATATTCAAAAATTTAAATTAATTTAGATTAAAAAAAATAAATATTTAAATAAGAAAGCAAAAATAATTTAAATAAATTAACATTTTGAAGGCAATTCCGTGACAACTTTTGCACTTGAAAGTCCGCCCGCTGCACTCCACCCCCCCTGAAACGAAGAGAAGACCAAAAGCAAAAGCAAAGGAAACGCAAGGTGAAGGTTCGTTCGAGACGAGTTTTGTTTGTGGTGTGGGGGCCATGGGGCATGTGGCATGGGGCATGGAGTCTTTGCAGGCAGATGGCAAAATCGAAGCGACATGCGAGAAACAATTCAAAGTTTCACGTCGTAAATTTGGCGGGCAACTTCATCGATCACTTGTTTTTGGACGACGACTCTTCCTTGTGGCACACAGCCCTCGGGGGTGGGGCAGAGGCAGAGGCAGAGGTAACCAGGTTTTTAAAGTCCCTGTGTCTCCAATCTCCAAAGGCAGAACGGCACGCGCGCCGTTCGATTTCTCTTGTTATTTTAGTTGTTGGAGCGGAAACGGAGCGGCGCTGCTTTTTGGGGGGACCAGAGAGCTCCGCTTGTTGTTGCTGTTGTTGTCTGTGGCATTCACCTTGGAATTGGAATGAAAAAAGGACCCGCAGCTGAGCCACTGTGATCCTGGAGTCCCCCCCGCCCCCTCCGCCGAATACCGAATGAATGAATGATTTAGAGCCGAAACAGTTGACAAAGAGCAGCGATGCGTATGGCCCCCAAGACCTTCCGGGCTATAAAAAGGATTGGTGGGACAGGGGGCCGGAGGTAGGCGCCAAGTGTCCTTTTAAAACCAATTCATCCGCTCTATATCCTCCCCTCTCTCTTGGTATTTATTTCCCCTTGCATTGCAACATAATTGAGTGGAAAATTGGGGCTAAAAAGTTGAACATTTTCAAAGAAATTCAAAATATTTTTTGAACATTTTTGGAGTTGGATTTAAAATTATATTATTTGTAATTTTATGTCCATTATATATTTTGAGAACTAATCGTTTGAGTGCTTAAAATCTATTATGGATCTTTAAATTTGAAAAATACACATCCTTAGACCTCTTTAGAGATTTGAAATCATGAAATGAACCTAGAAATCCTGTTCCAAAATAAAACTCTGAACAATATAAAAACTTTCGCCTATATTACTCCCTTAAAATGTCTAAAAACAAAAGGATTCATTCATGGGTTTACCACAAATACCAAAAACCCTCTCAAAAATCTATTATAAATATCCAAAACCTAAATATATTCTAAAAACTGCCTCAGGAACTCCAAATCTTGATAGAACATCATTCAGAAACAGTTCTTTATATGGAATTCTTAAAATTTCTCGACCCAAAATTAAATAGAGCCATAAAATATCCCAAATTCGGTTCTTTTTTAAACCAAAATCCTCAAAAAGGGGTCATACCATTCATTAGATATAGTCCATCCCTAAGAAAACACTTTCGAAAACTCCTCCTAAATTTCTAAAGTAAATTTCGAAGAATCTCCTATTTTCTGCCAGCATTACATCTAAAATCGAATCTATAGATCTCCAAAGATACACTAAAACCCTAAAAAAAAAAAAAAACACTGACCAAAAACAATCCAAGGAGCACCATTTTGCCGCTGGCATTTCAAAGTCCCCCACAGAAAAGTTCCGTTGCTGGGACCTCGTGCGCCAGCGACAAACAAAATGTTTCTCTCGCGAAAGCCCCAACAGAGGAGCCGGCAAAAGAGCGAAAAGCAAGAAGCTCCAACAACTCCAAGCACCGCTCAGACGCTGTCAACGCCAGCAGAGGCCAGACGTGGACGTCAATGCGGGCGTCGAAGTCAACGTCGACGTCGACTGCGTAAATTTATGTGAGAAATCCCAATTGAAAAAAGAGCAGCACGCGGCAGTGGCAGTGGCGGCGGCGGCGGCTCGCTCACGACACACATAAAGCAAAATAATGGCACATTCGTCACACTTAACGCGGCCGGCATCTGGCCATCTCGCTCGCACGCGCTCTAGCGCTGGCTCGCTCTCACACGCACACCAGACCATCCATCTTGCAGAGGGAGAGCGAGTGCTTGTGTGTGTGTGTGTGTGTGTGCAGGCGACAGCTGAGAATGCTTTATGACTCCTCCCTGTTTACGACGAGCGCAGCGCACATTTGCCGACGCAGGCAGAGGCAGAGCAGAGAATAGCGGCAGAGAGTAAGCAGCAGCAGAGGACAGAAGCATAAAGTCGGCCAAGTTTGGTTATTGGATCTCAGCGGGTGGCCGCAGTGGCGGGGGAAGAGCAACAACAGCTGTGAGAGCAATCAGAAAAAGAGAGAGAGAGAGAGAGAGAGCGAGCTGTTGGTTCGTTTTTGTTTTTTTTTGCTTTGCTGTTGGGGTGGTTTATGCGTGCGTGTGATTTGTTGTTCTGCTTTCTGTTTCCCAGAGATCTATCTGTACGGTAAATGCACGGCCATGATTGTTTCTGCCGGCGGCAAAGTGGAAGAAATTATGGCACGCACTTTTTCTTTCAATAAAACACTCTTTCGATTATTTAAACGTTATATTACCCAAAATCTACTTTAGAAATAAAAACTAAATAAAAAACATATCAGAATTCACCAATAAATCCCGTTAGAGCATAATTAACTTGTCAAACGTAAAAAGACAAGAGACATCAGACAGAAAACATCATTGATGCTATTAATGCATTAATAGCGGAATTTTGCCACTTCTTGAGAGCGCCTTGGACGCTTGTTTAGTGTTTGCTCAAGATTTCTGCGTAGTGGCCGATGCATTTCTGATCGTATTATTTCCCCTGGTCCACTATTTACTGTGTACCAGTGCGCACCCTGCACTTGCGAGTCCACTCTCCTCACGAAAGTACCGCAAAAGCTGTCGAATGCGAAAATCGACCAACGACTCTCTGAATTACGCAGAGAGCGCTCGGCAGCATAACTCACTCTGCTGCTCTCTGAGAGGCAGAGAGAGTGCAGCTTTTTTTTTTCTTGTGCTGCTCTTCCAAATGCTTTATGGTGCGACGGCAACGGCGACGGCGACGTTGACTGTGGCCGAGGACGAGGCAGCGCAGTCACATAAATAAAATCGCTCTCTTTGGCCGCTGCCCGGGTGCGCTCACACGAGTTTCTTATAAGATTATTTATATACTCCGCTGCCAGCGTGCCGTTTGCTGCTGCTGCTGCGGCTGCGGCCGGCGCTGGCGCTGACGCTGGCGCACACGTTCTGGATTAATAAGGATTTTCACATGCCGAATGGCAGAGGAGAGCTATATGCTACGAATTGAATGCTTTATGGGTTTAGTTCTATCAAACTCGTAAAGAAATCAACATCAAAAAAGCACTCGACGGTGGTATCCACACGACGTGTTACCCGTTACCGTTTCTTACCCCGTTACGTTACGTCTTTTAGCTGCCCGCCTCGTGTTTGCTCTCGTGCGTGTGTGCGTGTGTGTGTGTGTGTCCGTCGGTGCGTGCGTGCGTGCGTGAGAAAGAGAGGGGAGGGACACCGGGATCGGGACCTACCGCCGCCCTCTACTTGCACAGTATCCCACAAAAAACTACGCATCAAACACTTTTTGGGGTCTCTCAACAGAAGAACTAGCGACTATTCGGTCGCCTACGGTCGTCGCGGTTGTTACACCACACGCCACGCCTCCACCGTCCACTCCACCGTGCAACGTGCAACGTCCAACGTCCAACGGTTCTCCAATTGACAGATCATAAAACCGATATAAAACCTATCGAAAATTATCATAAAAGCCAGACAAAAAAAGCCATTATTGCCCGCCTCCTGTCGTCAGTCGCTCCGAGGACCTTGTCCGGCAAAGATACTACAAAAACAGAGAGGAAGAGGACAAAATTCCCATAAGAAAAATTTCGCGCGCGCAATTTTTTCGAAAAGGTCGTGTCGAGCCGGTGTCTCCGGTGCTGCCTCAATCCTCGATTTGTGCAATATCCCAAAACCCAGAAAACATAGAAGATATATCCATATAGGGATTACCGATTTGTTGTGCAAAATCCAAAGCCAAAAAGAAAAAGAAATCCCTAAAAATCCCTAAAATCTAAGTGTTTTTACCATATAAAATATATATATATATATTATATCGTATAATCCTCCAGCCTGAAAACTTGAAAAACTTTCAACATTTTCTAGTCCACGAGCAATATTTACACACTTACAAAAATAATAATAAAAAAGACAACCAAAAAAAAAGTCAAATACAAAAGAAGAGCAAAAGTTTTCTGCCGCAACAAAAAGTGTTTTTCTGGCACGTGCAAAAAAGTTGGGGGGCTAAAACATTGAGACCCCAGGATTCCAAGGATAAGAGTCAGTCACACACATTATTGGATTTAAAAGGTAAGCGACTGGGTCTTAGGCATTCAATTTTCCTAAGGGGGGGAAACGGAGCAACACTTGGGTTAATTTATGGTCTAGATGTGGGTTAAAGGTTCACTGAAAGAAATGGGGTTTGAGAAAGAGCTGTCTAAAGGGATTTGGGGTATATTCTGTTGTATCTAAGTATCTTTTTCTATGTTGCCTATAGGAAAAGGTTCTTGAATAATTCCTTAAATATGTTATAAATTATATACAAATTTTAATATATAATTTTGATATAAAGCAAAGGTCTTTTCTATGAGAAATTGCCATGAAATATCTAAGCTATGATTTGGAACATAAAAGTCACCGATCATATAAGAAATTGCCTAATAATATCCCTAGTTTGTCAAGAAATTGTAATCTTATATAAACAAATCCATAAAAAACAAAGTTTTCTTCTTCTATACAAGTTTCTTATGGGATTTCTTTCAAAGAAAAACATAGTTCTTCTAAGTATTTCATATAAACCGAAAATTAAAGAAAATCTCTAGAGTTTATAGGAGAAATATAGGTTTAGAGAGCCCGTTTGAAAGTTGTTCTAGAAAGATACTATAAATCTATCAAGAAATGGTTCCAAAAAGAACTTAAAAAAGAAATCTCTCTTCAGAAATAGTTTTTTATGTTTTTTCTATCTCCTTAAGAAGGTTCTTCAAGGCAGAGTTCCTTTTTAATATTTCATATAAATATTATAATACAAAGAAACTTGGAATAAAATATATAGATTTTGTTGTTTGCTCTCTAAAATATATTTGAATTTCCATCAAATATTTTCGAACTTTCTTCAACCCAAAAGTTTTTTCTAAGTGTAAAATGGAAGCTATAACTTTTGCCAGAACTCGGGCGAGAGCGAGAGAGAGAGATTCAACACTTCATAATTCAAAAAGTTGTTTTTCATTTTGGGGATACAGGGTCCAGGGTCCAGGGTCCAGGGTCCAGGTCCATCACTCATTTGCTGTGCAACAAAATTGCTGCAGCAACTGTTGACAGGCTTATTAGCCATTTGCATAAATTTTAACGCCCATTTGGAGGGCCTAGAAGGCCCCCCACCCCCCTCCACCCTCCAACACATTTTTAGAGAAGTTTGAAGCTGCAGAAGGAGCAACGGCGGAGTTGCAGGGCGGCGGCCCCTACGACCGACCGACCGACCGCACGAGTAATGGCCGCTTTGAACTTGGAATTTCTCTCCTGCTTTTGTGAATTATTGCACATATCCTGGGCAACATAGTTTTCACTTCCCACCGAATGGAACACACACACACACACACACACATAGATACAGCCCAGTCCTTTGCTAGGATTTTGGGTTCGCATAGAAAATTTATGCGGCCATTGCGTTGCAGTTGTCCTATGTCCTTCGTCCTGCGTCCTCCGTCCTTGTTGTTGGTGTTGTCCCAGTTGTCGGTTCGGGTCGGACGGTCGTCTGTCTGGTGGCCTTTTGCATATTTGTCGCACTCTCCTCCTCGTGTGGCGTCTGCCACTTAACCCCTCGCTATATCTCTCTCTCTGCTTCTCATTTTCTCTATATTTTCCCCTTTCTCTCATTGCACTTGCGCGTAAATTTAAATATTTTTCCATTTTTTAATGCAATTTTTTGTGCAATTTTATTTGTTGACACATTTCCACATTTTCCCTTTGCATTTACCCCATATTTGTAGACATTTTCTCTTCATTTTCCCCCCATTTTTCCCTCTGTATATTTTCCCCATTTCATTTCCCCATCTCTTATCAAATCCCATCGATTGTCGGTATTATTTACTCATAATTCAATCGATTTAATCAGCTGGAAATGTTACACAGCTGACAAAATCATAAACTCCTCTCCACTCTACGTTTTCTCTGTGTTTTTGTTTTTGTGTCTGTTTTTGTTTTTGTTTTGCAATGCAGAAAACTTTTTGCCGTGATTTATGGGCCCAAAAAAAGGGCAGACATTCGATGCATACAGTGGGTTACATTTTATATTATTATGGGAAATATGTATGTATCTAGGGGTCTAGAGATCTATGTATAATCCCATCATGGATGCTCCAAAGTTTTTAATACGAGTTTCTTTACATTTATCAAAGTTTTTTTTAGCTTCAAATAGGGTTTAAAGTCTATTTTAGATGGTTTTTAAGGTATTTTCCTCTCTAAAAAATATATAAATATTTAGAGAAATATATAAAATATAGAAAAATATTCTATAAAAGCGCTGTAGCATATTTTTTCTGCAATTTGTATATTTTTCTAAAAATTGTTCTATATTTCTGTCTATTTATTTCTATATATTTTTTTTCAATTTAAATTGCAAATGTTTTGAATATTCCTTTAAAAATTCATATACTTTTATCTCCATTTTTTGAACCCATTTTTCAGTATTTATCTATAGAAAAATATTTTATAAAAGCGCTAAAGCATATTTTTTCTGCAATTTGTATATTTTTCCGCATATATTTTTATATTTTTTTTCTATTTATTTCCATATTATTTTCTTTTAATTTAAATTGCAAATATTTTGAATAATACTTGGAAAAATCATCTACTAGTATCTCAATTTTTTTAAACCCAATTTTTAATATAATATTTCACTATTTACCCTTATATTTTCTTTAATTTTAATAGTGGAAAATTCAACCTAATATTAATAATAGAAATATGATTTATCATATATGTTTCATTGCTTTCAAAACCCCTAAACATTTACGAAACACCAGAGAAATGGCCCCAAAATAATGCACAATTTATTTCCTAACATTTTTCCACATTTTTGTTGAATTTTCTCTCCACCATTTTTCATCTCAATTCAACTTTTAATCAACTTCGCACTTCAGGGCTAACACACACCTTAAAAAAAGATTTATATTGCGGCGACAAGTCTTTTGTAAAAACATTAATCAGAGTCAGAGCCAAAGCCAGAGCCTCCTCATTCGAAAAAACAAAACCAAAAACTCAGCAACAAAATAAACGAAATTGTTGTTAATAAAAAAAAAAAAAAAACAACCTTTGGAGACAATGAAAGAAAACTTGTTTTGTTTGGGGTTTCGGGGATTTGAAATTAAAATATTATAAAATCCCTCTATTGATGGATGGCGACACAAACGAAACGACCAAAACGATGGCTAATTAATCATATGCACAGAAAAACAACAACAACAAAACCCAAACAGAAATCCAACAAAATCTCCAAAAACTTCACACAAACGAAACAAAAGGCGGCACAGAAACGGTATTATTTTTAAATGAAATCAGTTTAGTTTTTGTGTTTTATTTGTTGGTAAAAAATGGCTTCATCTCGGGATTTGCTTGCGGTTTGAGGGCGTTGCAGGGTCTCTCTCGCTCTCTCTCTCTGTCTCCCTCTGCCCCTGGGGATTGGGGGAGTGGACTTTGATAAGCCCCGACGGAAATGGCCGAATGGAGTTTTCTTTATCGTTTCATTGGAGGGACCACTGGGACCTATGTACTTCTTTTGTGCTAAAATTAGCTTCGAATTGTATTTATCTTACATTTTTTGCTTATATTTTTTAAATGATTAAAATATTGAGCACAAAAATGTTGGGAATTCAATTTCAATAGAAAAGTAATGATAAAAATATAGTAAAATAAAAACTATTTAAAAAAAAATGTGGAATGCAAATAAAGCAAGAAATAGGATCTAAAACATAAACAACATTTTTAAAAAATATAGATAAATTAGAAATTAAATTGATAGGTATTTAAAATGATTTAAATATTGAGTAAAAAATGTTTTGATATTAAAAACAAATGGTAAAGAATATAATAAAATACAAACAATTTTTAAAATGCATCAATAAATAAATAAAATAACAAAAAACAATTTTCAAAATTAATTGATAGGGTTTTTAAAATGATTAAAATATTGAGTAAAATGACAAATAAGATTAAAAACATAAAAACAAATTTCAAAATATAAAAAAATAAATGAATACATTTTTAAAATGATTAAAAAATTGAGTAATAAAATGTTTTGATATTAAAAACAAATGGTTAAAATATAATAAACTACAAACAATTTATAAAAGTACTAAAAACAGTACACAACATTTTTCAAATATAAAAAAAATTCAAAATAAATTTATAGGTTTTAAAAATGATTCAAATATTTAGTAAAACTCAAGGAAATGATTTTAAAAAATTAGAAATTTATTTTATTTTATTTTATTACTTCGTTTGGTACTTGAAATGTTAAAAATAATAATTAAAAAATTAGGAAAATATTTTTACTAAAATAAAAAAGACATAAAACTGCCAACATTTTATCCATTTTGTTGCATAAAAAATCACCAATATTTGTAGGGCTCTCCCACTTGTTGTAGTTGTTTTTGTTTTTGTTATTGTGGTTTCTGCAGCAATAAAAAAGGACCTTCTATATTCCGAGAAAAATACTAGACCCCAAAAAGGGTTTGTTGTTACTGCAGCAAAATGCAATTCTGGCTTTCAGCACTCGTACTATTTGCAGGCACTGTGCGGGGCTGTGCAGGGCTGTGCAGAGGGGGGGCTTTCCAGTCGAAAATGAAGTTGAAATGGGTGTATCCCGGGGCCAAGGATTGAGAGGCAGGGCCTATGCAGGGCGCACAGCTCTAGAGGGAGCTACGAGGCACCGCTACGAGAGGCCCCCAGTCGCCCAGCGGGGAAGCTCCTGCCGCAGCGCCTCGCAGTGACATTGCGCCCCGAAACGAACCGAGGCGAAGCGGGTGACAATGATTTATGGCAAAGAGATACCCAAGCGACAACGAAACGCAAAAAACTCACCAAAAAAAAAAAAAAAAACGAGAGAGAACTCCTCGAAACACAACCCAAAAATATTTACAGAACATTTTCAGCCCAACAAAAAACAAAAACAGAAAAATCCAGCAGCAGCAGAAAGAGAAAGCAACACACACAAAAACGCGAATGAAAACAAATTGAAAGGCAGAGAAAAACTAACGAAAAACTACCTAAAATTAAGGCAAAAAAAAACTGCGAAACTACGCCAAAAAATCGAC